ATAATTATTTTAGAAATAATAATTATACAAACGTCAATAGATTCAATAATAATAAACACTTTAGTAACAATTATATTCCTAATAATAATTATAGACCTAGTATCAAACCTAACTCTATTCAAAAGAAAGTGATATGTTTTCGTTGCGGTAAGGCAAACCACATAGCGAAAGATTGTAGAACCCATGCCATACAAATGATTCTGCCACGGACACCTCGCCTGTCATTTTCAAATAAAGCGAACATCGATGCGAAGATAAATAGGTTGCAGCTAGCTATGGAGTTTGATACCGGCGCCGCGTGTAGTGTGATTGATGAGGTCACCTGGAATCGTATTGGCAGACCACAGCTATCACCGGCTTATAAATTAGTGGGATATAATCATATCCAAATCGAAGTACTAGGTAAATGTACCGTAGAAGTCAAAGTAAAAAATATTTCGAATTTTTACTTATTTGGGTAGTTAAAGGGGAGAATTCCCTTATTTTTGGGATGCCTTTCATTAGAGAATTTGATATAAAACTACCGGAAGAAGTTCGTATTAATAAAATAAATATGAATGTTCCCTCTTTTAATACGATTGCTTCAAAATTCCCTCAAGTTTTTAAAAAAAAATTAGGTGAAATCAAACTGAAAAAGGCTGTCATCCGAATAGAACCGAACATATTACCGATTGCATTACCAGCAAGAAGAGTTCCTTTTCCGTTGCGTCGAACCATTGAAGCTGAGTTGGACAGACTTTTAGACGAAGGCGTTATCGAGAAGGTGGATCCAACAATAACTCCAATCACTTGGGCTACGCCAACGGTTAATATCTTAAAGAAATCCGGTGCCGTACGGATATGCGGAGATTTTCGTTTAACAATCAACAAATATCTAGCGATCGATAACGATTTACTACCAACTTTCGTCGACCTAACAAATAAAATCGCGGGTGGTAAAATATTTTCAACAATAGATTTAAGTGATGCATTTTTACAATTCGGAGTTAGTCCAGAATGTAGGGACCTTTTAATAGTTTCAACACATGTCGGTTATTACCGATACCAAAGAATTCCATTTGGTTTGACTAGCGCTCCGATAATATTCCAACGCTTTATGAAAAACCTATTAAAGGGAATTCCTATGGTTAGTGTATTTTTATACGACATAATTATTGCAGGTGAGAATAATTCCGATCACATAGTTAATTTGGAAGAAGTATTAAGAAGATTTGAGAAGGCTGGACTGACCACGACGACTGATAAAATTAAAATGGGAGAAAAGTCTGTCACTCATTTAGGTCATGTTATTGACAGTTTCGGAATTCACCCTACAGAAGATAAGATTAGCGCTATAAAAAATTTTAAAACACCTTCCAATGTTAAAAAACTACGTTCATTTCTTGGAATAGTGAATTATCATGAGGCATTTATTAAAAATTTGCATTCTATTTGTGCGCCTTTACACCGACCGAGTAAAAATGTTGGTTGGTTTTGGTCAGCTAAAGAAAATGAAATATTTACTAAAGTTAAAAAAATATATTGTCAAAAGAAGATACAATAATTCCTTATTCAGCCGATATCCCTGTCGTGATTTCTTGTGACGCTTCCGAAGATGGTCTAGGAGCTGTTATTGCACACCGATTTCTTACTGGCCAGGAGAAACCGATTGCTTACGCATCGAGGACACTTTCGGCGACTGAGAAGAATTATGCCACAATTGTGCGGGAGGCTTCGGCAATCATGTTCGCTATTGAGAAGTTTCATCAATATATTTTTGGAAGACATTTTATCTTGGTTACTGATCATAAACCATTACAATATATTTTAGGTGATAAAAGAGATCTTAACAAAATAACAAATAACCGTTTAATACGGTGGGCAACGAAACTATTAAATTATGATTATGATATAATATAGACCAGGTAATCATAACAAATGTGCCGATGCTCTGTCCCGTTTGGGGGTAGAGAAAGCAAAAACCAATGATGTTACAAAAAAATTCGAAGAAGAAATCAGGGGATTAAAAATTAATTTAATAGAAGATTTATCTTTCACTCGCAGTAAAGTCGTAAGTGAAACGAGCAATGATATAAACCTAAAAGAGATTATTAATTAATAAAAAATCATTGGTATATTGATAATATAAATAATTATTCGGAGATTGTAAAAAAATATATTTCGATTAAAGATAATATTTCGTTCGAAGAAGGATTATTATTTTATAATGATAGAATTATTATTCCAGATATTTTAAAAATGGAGGTTTTATATGTGATTCATCGAGGACATCCTGGGATAGTAGGGATGAAATCATTGTGTAGATATTACGTTTTTTGGACAAATCTCGATACTGATGTTGAAGACTTTGTTAAATGTTGTAAGAGTTGTCAAGAAGGAAGGCCGGGAGCTAAAGAAGTGCCATTATACAATTGGAACATTCCTACCCGACCTTGGGAACGATTACACATTGATTTGACAGGCCCCGTATCTGGAAAATATTGGTTAATTTGCGTAGACGCTTTTACCAAATGGGTTGAAGTTGCAATTTTAACACATATTAATTCGGCGAGTGTAATAAATAATCTGCGTAATTATTTCACCTCGCTACATTGTCTCAGATAACGATACTCAGTTTACTGGATCTGAATTCAAAACGTTTCTTTTTAAAAACAATATAAAACATTTTAGATCGGCCCCTTATAGCCCCAAATCGAATGTTTTGGCTGAACGATATATACGGACGATAAAGACGCGTTTCTATGCTGGAAGGAGATGTGGGACTCCGGACCAGTTAAATTTAGCGAATGTTTTAATTACTCACCGTAATACTCCCAATGCAACTACTGGTAAATCCCCTGCCGAGATGATGTTTGGAAGGTCGCTTAGGACGACATTAGATCAGTGGAAATTATCAACGAGAGAAAGGACGGAAAACGCTCTATGGAAACAAAAGTACTACAAAGATAGAAGTGTTGAACCTCGGGAGTTTGAAGAGCAGCAAAAAGTTTGGATAGCAAACGAAAGGACAGCAGGGTGGCATGAAGGAAAAGTGTTACAACGAAAAAGCGCAATATTGTACGATGTGGAATCAGAGGGGATCGTTAAAAACAAGCATGCAGATCAATTGAGGGATGCACATACACAAGAGAAGGAAATACCCCTTACGTTAACCGAAGAAGTGGAAAAGGCAGAACATGAGAATACAACTCTTGAAAAAAGAGTTTCGAAACCCCCACTACGTTATCACGATGAATTCAATTTATAGTGGGGAGAACTGTAATATAAATGTAATTGTAAATTGAATTTAAATTGAATATAATATTAACTTTTCGTTTGTAAATTACATAACCTGAAGGATTGAATTCATTATATATATATACGCAGTGGCGTATCCAGGATTTTCTTATAGGGGGGAAAATTTTTTGGGGGCTTCGCTCCCAAACCCCTTTTACCTGGCCTTCGGCCAGCTTTCCCCGGCCTTCGGCCGGGTCTTATTTAGCTATTCTATTAAATTATTCATAATTTAATAATAATTATATTTCTATTTTTAACTATTATTTACTAATTTGTGCTTATGTTAGGTATATTATATTTAATAAAGTTTTTTTAAATGTAAAGGTTTATTTATATGTAAAGTTGAAATAAAGTGTAATGTCTTTTTATAAAATTTGCTTTAAAAACTAGCCTCAGCTTAAATTCTCATACAATATAAGTAGAATATAATTTTTTTTATTGAAAATACTAATAGTAGTTTAAAATATTGACTAGAAAATAATTAAATTAACAAGTTTTTTTTAACTTCTTATCAAATACAAGATTTTTATTTATTTAGTTTGTCTTCGGAACCAAATCTCTGTGTATATTTAACAGAGCTAACCCATTTAGCCGAGATTCAGTACTTCGTAAATATGTTTTCAACCTTCTCAAGTTGGAAAAAGTCCTTTCATTCGTACATGTTGTAATAGGCAAACATGTAAGAATATAAAACAACTTCGAAATATTAGGAAATTGAGCCAAGGTTTCTTTACACCGATTGAGCGCATCAATAGCATGCTCAGGTAAAATAGCTAAACGTATAAATATTTATACCACAATTCGAATTCACTGATTAAATTTATTTCAGTATCAATCTCATAGGAATAAAATTTTTCTAAATATTTAATTTTACCAATAGTGGCATTAGAAAATGAAGAAGGATCTTTGGGTAATAAAACTTGAAGATTGCTAAAGACTTGTTTTTTATCTAAAACCCGTACTTTTATTTGCTATAAAAAAGTATCTAAGAATGGGATGAAAATGGATATTTTATAATATTCTTCAGTTGAGCCAATATTTATTTTCATCTCAATAATGGCCTAGGTGCTAGATGAGGTTTAATTAGTATTATATCATAAAATTTAGCCTTCGATTCAACGTCTAGATAAATATTATGAAAATATTTATCTACATTCATTCTTATTGTATCTACCTGTTCATGTATATTTTCCGCCAAATCAATAACTTGAACCAAATCTAAATTTGATTTTTGTAAATTTCTACAAAGTAGTGAGCTAAAAATAATTTATTGATGCAACTAGCAACGATAAACTCTGATTGATCAATTGAATTCAATAATGATATCGCTGCTAACGACACATTACTTTTTTTCATGCTCAGCCTTATTTATAAATTATCGTTTGATTTCAATCTCTTTGACTAAATATTTTTACATTTTATTAATATTTTTGAATAATATGTTGGAAAATTGATATTCAAAAATTTGTAAAATTTTGATTGGTGAAAGGGGGGGGGGAGTCTGGGGGGGGGGGTAAAATTTTTATTAGTTTAAAATGATATTTATGAAAATAGTCAAATTTGCGATAGGGGGGGAAATTTCCCCCTTTCCCCCCCCATTGGTTACGCGCCTGTATATACGTGATATTTTGTATTAAGGATACTTTTACTTACTTTACTTATTTTACTTATTTAATAAAACACTTCAAACTCCCAGCCTGATTTTGCGTTCGCAGAGGATATAATATTGCATATAATTTTGAATTTTTATGGTTGTAGCTCTTGGTTTAGAAGGTAGTGCAAATAAGTTGGGAATCGGAATTATTCAAGATGGGATAGTTCTATCAAATCCTCGAAAAACCTATGTCACACCGCGTGGGCAAGGTCTTTAATTAAAAAGATAATTGCTTATTTAAACAGGTTTTTTACCTAGAGACACTGCAGCACACCATCAAACTGTAATACTAGAAGTTTTAAAAGAAGCTTTGAATGCCGCTAAAATTTGCCCCAAAGATATAGATATTATATGTTATACAAAAGGTAAATTTTTTGAATATTATATGTTATACAAAAGGTAATTATTTTTTGAATATTATGTTAATAAAAAGGTAATTATTGTACTTATTTAAATAATTTACTTGTATTTATATTTTCTTATCATAATCTATTATATATAAATTTTTTAAAATAAAAACTAATATTAAAGATATTTCTTTTTTTATATTCATCATTTGTAATATATCATATAGGTCCAGGTATGGGTGCTCCATTGTTATTGGTTGCACAGGTTGCCAGAACATTATCATTAATTTGGAATAAACCTTTAATTGGAGTTAATCATTGCATTGCCCACATAGAGATGGGTAGGTTAATAACAGGTGCTAAAAATCCTGTAATTTTATATGTCAGTGGGGGAAACACTCAAGTTTTTTTATATTCTTTATATGTAATTTGATAATATATGAATGCTTTAACACTTTTGCATGCAATATTATATGACCATATATCTTCCTAATCATATTACTTAAAGAACAATTTAATAAGATTTAACCTAATTTTAATAAAAATTATTTAAATAGGATTAATTACAAAACCTTCAAAATTTTTTTGCCAATTTTAAAACAAGATTCGAAATTTTACTTTTTACATTTTAATAAAGATATTTTGAATTAAATTTAAATAAATTATTCATAATCCTAATTATGAGGTAATCTTAATTAATTTGATTACATTGTAGTAAGATTGTGATTAATATTATATAAAATGAAGAATTATACTTTCTTATAGCAAGGCTTTGACCTACTAGAATTTAAAATTAAATAAATAACACTTTGGAATACTTGTTATATATAAGAGAAGATAGTAAGGAAATATTCTGATTATATTTTAAAAGAAAAATAATAATACAAACAATTTTTTAATTAAAGTAACTACTTGGGTTATGAATATTTAATATCAGAGCAATGAAAAAAATTTGTGAATCATACAAACCTAATCAATATAGTGTGTCTGTTTACTTCAAACTATTTCGAATAATAGCTTTATTAGGTGTTATATGAAAGACCTTAAAATATTTTATAAACAGATATTCCTGTTTAAAAATTCAATACTCACTTTTTAACCTTCTTTTTTTGTGTTGCATTATTTTGAGTTTTTCTTTCTTTATATTTAATAACTATTATCTTGACAAACCAACTTTAATGTTATATGCAAATTAGATAATTTAATTTTATGGTTCCTTGTCCATATTTATATTAAACAAATTTTGTCATATCATTTATTGTAAATGAAATATTTTAACTTCATAAAAAGTACTGCAAATAATGAATAGGTTAATATTAATAAATAAATATTTTTATATTGATTGGATCATGCACTTTAAGGGGTTGGCAAAAATCATGTATTTTAATAAAAATCAAAGACCTGCAACAGGGTACCAATTGCATGACCCAGCCAACCTAGGTTTGTAAAAAAAAGATTCCAAGCCAGTTTTATTAATAAAAAATTTTGGTTAGTGTATATGCAGTATTGTGAAATCACTATTAACTAATAAAAACTACAGGAGTGATTCTGCAATAAACTTTGAATCACTATTATAGTGTTAATTTATGACAAAACCTAAAATTTTACAAATAATCACTAAATTCATTATTTTAGAAATCACAATTGTTATGTAGGTCGTTTTTTTGTTAAAGCATTCATTTTTGGTGTTGAATATTCTCTTTTTTTGATTATTGCACAATCATTATTTTAATATATTATTATTATTTGTAAAAGAAATAAAGAGTAATTATAAAAATTGTTTATGTCATATGTTTTAAAATTAATTTTATTATTAATCAATTTATATTTATTTTGTAATAGATATAAGAAGAGAAAAAATGAAATAAATCATTATTGTTTCCTTCCAATTTTTATGATATTATTTTATTCAGAAATTATTTTTTTATTCAAAATTTATTATTTTCACCTGCCAACTTTTAGAATTAAGAAAAATAAAAAGTGATAAAAGATAAAAACATTATTTAAATACATATATACTTTTCGATCTACCAAAAACCAATTTCCTTTAGTAAGAACTGAGAAAAACTTCTTCCCAACTGAGCAGCTTTAAAATGGTGGTGACCAAGACACAGTGACGAAGCGTCCATAGAAGCAAGATTTTTCTTACAAAATTTTAAAATAAACTTAATGTAATCTTTGTACTATGCTAAATAAACTAAACTGACTTAGTTAAAAAAATTAATATTAATTTTTTAACGTATAATTTTTATAACGTTAAAAAATTAATATTATTTTTACTATATTAAGAAATACTATTATTTTTACTACGTTAAAAAAGCTACTATTATTTTTACTACGTTAAAATAATATACTTTAGGGAATCAATTTATATTTTTTTTAATAAATAAAGAGAATATCATGCCATGGTATTGTGTAATTTTACCATTAAAAAATAAGCATTGGGGAAGCAAATAAAAAAATGCTTATTTTTTTAATAAATAAAAGAGAAAGAAATTTTTTTATATAATATTTTTTCCTTACTTTTTTAAAATAAAAAAATTTTTCGTTTTTAAAATCCTTAATTAATATTTAATAATTGTAATTGTATTATTAAAAATTTATCAAACATTATCATTTAGCTCAAGAAATTTTGATGCGAAAAAATTGATTATTGAAAAAGGAAATCCAAAATCAATTTTACAAAACTTAAAAAAAGAAATCAACTTGCATCCGTAATTTTTCTATCTATAAATATGAAAAATATGAATGGCTCACTCGATGTGAATTTTCTAATTCTCCATATTGTTGGTCATGTCTATTATTCCCAAAGGAAAAAATATGTTTTTAATGATAAAGAATTTTCGGATATGAATAATTTTTCAAAGGCAGTTAAACGGCAAAGAATCAACCGCTCATTTGCAGTCGATGATTCATTTAAAAACATTTGGCCAAAATCTTATTGAAAATATGATAGATTCGATGCGCAAAATATCAATCGAACAGCATAATTATAAAGTCAAATCAAATAGAGAAATATTGAAAATATTGATCAACAATGTTTTCTTGGAATTCAGGAGCTCGTATTCCGTGGTGATGATGAATCTTCTAATTCAGTAAATAGAGGAAATAATATTGTATTAATTTATTTGCTCGCGGAAGAAAATTTACTATTGAAACATCATTTAGAAATAGTGCAGTTTTTATTGTACTATCAAGCAATATTCAAAATGATTTGATTAATTCTATCTCATATGTCTTACACCAAAAAATATTAAATTCGTCAAATTGTTAGATATTAGTAAATTCCAAATAATCAATTTCCCAAAATATTTATTAGATAATTTAAACGACACTTATTCTCAATTTTTTGACTTACACAAGCTGGAGACCGAATTAAAGGTAGTGTTTCGGGATGTTGAATTAGAAAGAAAGAGAATGTTAATGAAATACTTGAATTTTTAATATGCACCGATTTGATGAAAAGTTTTAAAGAATTTTTTAAATTATGCAAATTCATCTTAACTTTGGCTTCAACAACAGCAAGTGCAGAACGGAGTTTTTCATCTTTAAAAAGAATCAAATCTTATAGCAGAAACAGGATGAGCCAAAATCGATTATCGAATTTATCTTTAATTTCGATTGAAAAAAAATTATTAAAAAATTTAAAATCTAGCGATAACTTTTATAATGCAGTACTTGATCATTTTACTCAAAAACAAAGACGAATACCACTTATTTATAAATCTTAATGCTTTTATGGTTTGAGTTTGACTAAAATAAAATTATTTTTTGATTACTTCCCTACTGCCAAGACAGATCTACAATAAATAAGGAATTTATATTAGTGCAAAGAGGCGGATTCATATTAAGGCAAAAAGGGCAGATTTATATTAATATAAAGAGGCGGATTCATATTAAGGCCAAAAGGACAGATTTATATTAAGGCCTAACCAGAATCCTTTAATATTTTACAAGGTCGAATTTGCCGAAATTTTTTTGAGGAAGTGGTGCCCATTTGTTTCAGAAGGCCATTACACGAAATTGCTGCCCAAATTTTTGTCATATAGATCTGTTACCTTAAAGTGCTGCCTAAATTTTTCAGAAGTCTGTTACACATAAGTGCTGCAGACTTTTTCAGAGTTTTATTACACGGAAGTGCTGCTCAAATTTTTGTCATAAATTATAAAAATGCCTGTTTTTTTCCCCGCAAAGAGAGATAGAAAGAAACAGTCTTACACATGAATTATATAACTCAAAAACGTAAATTTGACCACATCTTATCGGAAATAAGTTTATTTTTCATTGGACTTGCACACTATTGATATTATTTTATCTGTTGACATTACAAATAACCAAAATATTTATTTTGAAGTTAATCATAAATTTTTTAAAACAACGGTATGAAATTCTTAAAATTTGTTAAGTACTGGTAGATACAATATAATATTTTTGGAGCCTTGGTTATACTATTTAATAGATGTGTATATTATGGGGAAGAAGGATGAGGAGAAGTCGCAGTGTTAGAATATAAGGACAGGAGATGTAAATGAATTAGTCCATAGACCAGAGAGACAAGAGTTCTATAATAGTCAAATGTTGGGAATGCAGAGATGACCAAGAGGAAATTCACAGGGAAGAAGAATGGAAATGAGAAGGGGTTTTGATTCTCGTGGAAGAGAAAATGTTTGTTATTAAGACAAGGACATATGGTTCGGGATTGTGGGGAAACTAAATGGAATGTCGAAAATATGGTCATATAGCCCCGTACAGTCGAAAACAAGAAAAACTGCGGTGTGCATGGTGTGGACAATTTTTTCACAATAAAAAGGAGTGCATTCTAGCAATTATAACACCAAAACAAACTGGAGAACAAAATATGGAATGTTTTAGATGCCGGAAAAAAGGTATAAGGTGAGAGAATGTGGAAATTATAAAATTAATGGGATGTGTAAATATGATACAAGAAGGTAGTACCAGAGTAATGATAGATTTTAATGGGAGTATGGTACCAATGTTATTTTACACGGGAGCGACTTTCGATAATCGGAGTATTTGGCCCGAGGAGATGATCGAAAATGAAGGATTGAGAATAGGAAATTCGATGGATCACAAGTATGGGTAATGGGAAGAGTTGAAATAGAAGCAATAGTGGTAGAAAGAGTGGAGATATTAGATTTGCGGATTATTATTCAGAAGGTTGAAGCATTGATGGGATGGGACTGGACCACCCAAATAGGTCCATTGTATAGTTTTTGGGGATTATTTGCATGGTGGGGTGTGTTTGTACCCATAACGAGACTAGCTGTGTTTGGAGACATAGCGGAGGAATACGTAGAATCGTTACCAGGAATTTAAACAGCGTTTAGTAGGAGTGGGGAGGGAAGAGATCGAGGAAGTATCGTAGAGCTGGGAGAGGAAGCTGCGAGTGAGAGGGGTGATGGGAGAGTATTCTTAGATGGCGAAGAAATAAGCAGCTTTAATTCTAGAAGAGAAATAGGGGCGAATAATTATAGGATAGAAATCGGGGGAACTTATAGTAAAGAAATTAGGGGGAATTATTAGAAATCGGGGAGAATAATTCTAAGAGAGGAATCGGGGGGACTTTAGGAGAGAAATCGGGGAGAATAATTCTAGGAGCGAAATGAGGAGAAATAAGTCTAGGAGCAAAATAAGGGAAAAGAATTCTAAGAGAAAAATAGGTGGGGGGGGGGGAAGTATTTTATGGGTGAAGTAGGGGAAAAGAATGCTAAGAGTGGAATAGGGGGAAGAATTTTAGGAGTGATAAGGTAAAATATTTCTAGAAGAAAGAAAGATTAAGAGAAGGAAGGAGAAAGGAAAGACTGGGGAAAGAGATGTATGGCAGCATCAAGAAAGGGGCGATGAATGCTGAGACACTGAACGAGGAGTTGCATCTTAATGAAAAAGATGGAGGGAAATGGGAAATGACCAAAGTGTAAGAGGGAGTACGGAGATTAGCACAAAATTATCAGGAAATTTTCAACGAAGATTTGGGATGCCTCAGAGATTATGAAGTATATATTAAATTAAAGGATGGTTGTGTTCATAAATTTTGTGCGTTACGATGGATAACGTTTGAATGGAAAAAAGAAGTAGAAATGGAATGGATTAATGGGTACAGAAAGGCTTTGTATGTCCAGTAGAATACAGTGAATGGGCGACCCCGCTGATCCCCATTGAAGAAGGCCTATGGTCGGCTCCGTCTATGCCAAGATTTTCTAGTCATTCTAAATTTGTGGGTTAGTTGCCGCGAATTGAAAAAGTATTGGCTAATTTAAAGGGAAGTATTCTTTTTCAAAAGTTGATTTCTCTAATGTATATCTGCAGCTGCGTGTAAAGACAGAGGTAAAGAAATTAATAACTATGACTACGTCTAAGGGATTTGCATTTTGTAGAAAGCCATTTGGACTTTGTGTATCAGCTCCTATTTTTCAACAAACAATGGCGGCTGTTTTTCAAGGAACGAAGGGGTTTTCTACTATATGGACGATGTGTATGTGACTGTAAGAACTCCCGAATAGCTTGAAGATAAAAGAAAAAAGATTGCGGCACAGTGCGGAGAAAAGTGTGTTGGGAGTGATGGAGGTGACATATCTTGGGCACAAAATTACGGGAAAGGCGGTGAGATCCGTAGACAAGAATATGACAGGAATTACAAATATGATGAGACCTAATAATAAAGCAGAAGACTATCCTTCTTGGGGGGGGGGTCAACTATTACATCGGGTTGTGAAGGGATTTGCTCAGATAGCAGCACCATTAATTGCTGAAGAAAGGAGAGAAATTTGAATGGACAGATGAACAAGAGGCAGCCTTTAGAGTTGAAATGCAGAATTGTAAAAGAACCTATTTAAGTGTGCTTTAATATTGAATTGGAAGTGTTTTTGGCCATGGACGCGTCTAATAAAGGTGTAGGCTTTGTTACATTGTATTGATGAATTAGAAAAATCGGTGTTATATTTCTCAAGGATTTTTAGAGCAGCAGAGACTAAGTATTCCGTGATTGAGCAAGAAGCGCAAGCCATCATTTTTGTATTAACAAAATGCTGAGAGAATCTAATTGGACGCAGTTTGGCTTTTTATACGGACTATTCAAAAAGGACAACAAGGAATTAATACTATCGCCCCGGTTACAGAGATGTTG